CTTGGGGAACCCCACTGCCTACCTCCGTCCAGGTCGAATAGACCCATCCACCACCACTCTCTGGGTGCGGCCCTCCAGCCAACTAGTGACCCATCTGGCTATGTAGGTATTGACACCACTGTCTCCTAGTTTTGTCAAAGATCAAAGTGTTTGATTTTGGATGCCAATGGCAAAAGAGCAAAAGATCAGATGGCAAAAAGTCAGAGGCTAACACAGCAAATTTTGTAATTGTAGTCTCACACTATTATTTTTTAGTTTGTAACAGTGCTGCATATTCACACCCCTGTCTGTGCCTCATTTCAAATTACTTGAGCCTCTCATACGAGAGAGACACTAACCTTGAACAAATTGCAGCCTAGTATCGTGACGTCAAAGAGATACCGTACCTATAGTGACCAGATAAAAATGAAACTAACGGAATTGTAAAGTTAAATAATATGCTACGCTTGCCCTCTTGTGACCAGACAGGACCAGTACCACCCAAGCAAAAATATAGCCCCCCTTTTATGAAACTTGAGAAAACAAAGAGAGCACAAGTGCCAACTCATTAATTATTCATACCAGGCATATTATTATTGGTTATTTTATTTCCTATAACTTGGAAAGAACTTCTGCCCAAAAGCAGAGAACTGCGTATACACTCAAGAAGGGAGATCTCGGAGCGTTCCCAAGAGACACAGTTTGTAACCTGACCAGTTACAAATATTATCTCTCCGCCTATGTATCTTTCTGGCGTACCCCCGTTTTGCTGGCTTGTGTCGTCTTATCTTTTTCGCTCGTCTTATCTTATCTTTCGTATGTCCCTCTCGTCAAGAGCTCTCGGTAATCTGCAGACTGTAGTAATTTGTATAAACTGTTTGAAACCTGTACTCAGCAAGTCTGCAATCCACTGTAATCACTGGGTGACAGAACATCTGCATGCTGCAACTAAGAAATCAACTGCTTCTGCCTACCCTTCAAGCCATCAGTAGCGTAAGTAAAATAAACTTTCTGTGTAACAAATGCTCATTAAACCATTTAAATCCTCTGACTCCTGCTCGCCATTAACACCCACCTGTCCGGTCATAAATTCCCCCTCGTGCCAAGCTGGTCGTACCGACCCAGGCTCGCAGGTCAAGGGTGCACCGGCATCTGGGCGTGACAGGTATCGACACCACTGTCTCCTAGTTTTTTAATGAGAATGGGGTGAGAGACAGTGTCTCAGTCCATATAGTCTTATCGTGGGGGTTCTTTTCGGGTGGAGCGGGGTCGTCCGCAGTTGAAGAATCCTCTCAAAGGATTCTTGATCTGAGCCTTCAAGAGGCCGAGAAGCAACTTGCTGGTAGAACAGAGGTAATAGGTGGGGCAAAAAAGACATTTTGCCCACCTACGAAAGGATTTACAATTAGAACTCTACAGAGAGGGGATCTGGGGTGCCTGCTACATCCCATAATCCGAAGTGAAAGTAGTCAGCTATTTATAATATAATGCTGTATGCTGTTTATACCATGTGCATCAGCACAATATCATTAAATTAAACAATTTTGACTTGGCCATGGTTTTTTGTTTTGTTTTTTTACACAACAATATCCTGAAGCAGTTAAATAAAATTAAAGAACTTATCAATATTACATCTGCAACAGATGGAGACCCCCTCCCTGCATGGATGAGTAATCCACTTAGTCGTCCAGATGAGCTTTTGGAGTGCAAGATTTAGTATCTCCCTATTGGTTATACATCCTTGCAGGCATATGTGCAAAATATAGTACAGGTGAGGTTGGCAATTTACTTGCCACCAGATAACACATTTAAAGAGTTGTTATTCAGACACTTTGCAGTGAGTTGCAAATGCCCATTTTTGGGTGAATCATACCATTGGTCCACGTAAAGGAATGGTTGTCATACCAGTGCAGGACATGCAGATACAAGAGATGTGCCCATTTCAGAGGATGGAAGAATAATTCTGGGAGGCTTTCCAGAGATGTGCCGAGGATTGACTGCAGAAGCTGTGTGTTATACAAACCAAATGGCTTAGGGGTGTGCCTCCCTCATAGCAGAGAGAGTTAGGGAGGGAATTGAGAGATAAGGGATTAAGAAAGAGGCAGAAAACTGTACTCTGTAATACTCTTGTCAGAATGACCTTATACAGTGGGTAGAATCCATAAAACTAGTAGGATTACTTTTCCATTGAAGAACTACCAGAATGAGTAAAGGTATCACAATCCGGCCCTTCTGGAAATTAGTTGGAGAATCCTGTTGATTACTGTTTGTAGATCCAAAAGCCAATGGCAAATTCTGGCTGTCAGAGTCCAAGTCACTGTTGCCCATAAAGCTGTATGTTTGTTAATTTGAGAAACGTTTCTTAACTGCATCATGGAAAAAATGACAGCAATAAGGATGCTGTGAGCTGGAGAACAAGGTACAACCCTGTGTCTGTTTATTTTCAGCATTTAAATCCTATTGAAAGTGAATTACTGGCCCAGTGCTCCTGCAGCTATTTCCATGACAAACCTTCTGTTTTCTGTGAGGCTTTCTCAGCACAAATGGTTTGTCTGGGAACATTTCATTCTATTGGAAAAATAGCATATGCTTAATATTTTCTAAACAACACTCTGAATTTTGCTAGTACAGTCCCCTCCTCTCCAATATTTTCTAGAAAACTTTTTGCCCATGTAACTCAGAGTCTCATAACATTCTTTGACTTGGTAGTGAAATCTGCCCTTTCCCGTAGTTTAAGGCCAAAAAATTTACCTGGAACCCCTGCCAATCCCGATATAACAAGTGTATGTATGATCTCCTGTGCAGGCATTTAACTCCTCTAGAAATTGTCCCTTATGATATACTACATCCATCTCCAGTTCTTTATATTACAGTTAAGCAACAAACGTTTGACCCTTGCCAGATTCTAAGGACTAAGGAAATTCCTTTTCCCTCCTTTCACCTGTATATGAAGGATTCTGCTGCTATAAGAAAACCAGACTCACTCCACCCCCTAGCTCTGTGTTTCAATAGCAGACCTAGGCAAGTGATCATGGCCCACATTTGCTGCTGTTCATCCTCAGCAATCATCCCTACTCTCTGCACAATGGTGTCTCCAACAAAGCTTATTCTGGCTGGAATGGGAGGGTACAGAACCACAGCAATGCTACCTAAAGAACAAGAGAGCTCTCTTTTTCCATTTTCCACCTTTGCTTATGGAAGGGCATCCTGTATAGCCAATGGACCAATGGTTTTCAACCTTTTTTCATTTGTGGACCCCCTAAAGATTTTGAGGTGCAGACCCCATGGTATTATTTCCCCTAGAATTGTAAGTGTGGGTATTCACATACTTTTGGTTGATCATAGTAATCTTTTGTGGACCACTTAGACATAGTCTGTGGACTGCTCGAGGTCTGCAGACCACAGATTAAAAACCACTGCAATAGACAAATGATTGATTTTGCCAATCGTTATCTCCATTATTAGTATCTGCCTGTAGAGACTAAGTGGTAGCGCAAGTGACTGGTGCCTCCTGAATCTGGGGGGGCACTCACAGAAGCCACCGATGGCAGTGACTCTGTCGGGGGGGCAATAGCCCTACCGACAGCATCAGTGTCGGCCATCGGGGAGGCACTGGCCCCGTCAGGGGGGCACATACACCCCTGTGCACCCCCTACCAGTCACCTATGAGTGGTAGCCTAAAGGCTAATTTCAAGTTCCCATCAATCCCACTTGAAGACATCACAACAGAAGCTTTATGCAAGGCGAGGGAAGAAGGACACTTGTGCCCACTGAATATAACGTGTACTGAATATGAATGAGAAGGGGGAAACCCTCCCCCCCAATGTATTTACTGCATTGTAGTGGAAAATCATAGTAGTTTCCCTTAATGATAACTTCTATCCCTGCTGGTTGAGATCCTACTACTAGAGAGAGGAGGACTGGAATTAGGGATTTGGAAGACTTCGATATAAATCACAGAAGTCTATTATTGTCTGCTTCTCATTCATTGGGCAATCTGTAGTTCAGTGTGGAGGCTTTAAGCAATTGTTTTCCTCATCCTGCAGATGTGTTATGCATTGTTAACTAGTTTGCAGCTAATTTGGGGAAATAATATTGATTCCTTGCAGTTTGACTTTTGATAGATAGTGGATGTGTCTACACGTTCATCAATCCACCATAGTTACTGTGCATTATGTTTAGTAGTAGTATAACCAAGTACTAAATCAATGTGCAGTAACTGGTGCTACCGCACAGTAGCACTGGCGCACAGCTTTTTAGTGACACTAACTTTGCTGTAGTCTAATATTATTGAGTAGTAGCATATTAGCATGGTTTTTGCCCTGCACATGGTTACTGCCTTGCTACTGCACAGTAGCATCAGGCTACTGTGCAGTTAGCATCTTGTGTAGATGCACCCAGTGTGTAGAGACACCTGCCTGTCATTTCCTCCAGCCTGAATAAGCTTTTGTGGATTGAGAGATAAGATACAACATAGTCTAGCCATCAAATGAGTTTTCAAATTGCTAAAAAGTTACAGAAGTAATTGCTGGTTGTTAACTGCCTTGTAGAACTGTCACATTTTTTGATTTACCTGGTTTTAACTATTGCTTTTTAAAAAGCAGCAAGTTACTCATTTTTAAAGACACATTATTCATTTGAGGCAGAAGCATTATGAGAAATGTCACTGGTAAATGGCACGGAGATGTAGCCTTTGTTAGCTCCATTATGATGTCAAATTATTCTCCTTCTGATTTTGGTTCTAAATTAGACGTATAGGTTCAATATTCCCAGCAGAAATATTAGTTGATTAAACACCCCTAATATTATCCATGAAACTTAATATAGAACATCATGTACCTTAACTAATGCTGCTTGTTACGTAGCAATAGGTTGCTTCTAACTTACTGGGTAGCTAATTAACCCTGGTTTGTCCTATGCTCTGCATTATGGCTTGAACATTACATCCACACTCATTACTAAGGCAAAACTTCCACTGAAGCTGAATGACTTTCTTACTGACTTACATGTATTGGATTTAGATGTCATGAAGTTTACTGATGCACATCAATAACAATTAAAAGTCCAGAGTACGTGCTCTTGGCAAACTGCTACTTACTTAAAGGGGTATGTAGTAAAAGCTGATTCAGTTTTCTATAATCAAGATGCTTTGTATGTGTTCTGGACAGCGAATGGGATGATTATCAGTCTGTGGGGATCCTGATCCTTGAACCTAATGGAGAAGCTGCTGGGACCAGATGTGGAAGAATGCAGGAGGCAGCTTCAGGTAGTTGCCAAAGGTAAAGTACTGGAAGGCAGGGATATCTACTACAGAGGTCAAGGGAATGCTGGTTGTGGTCTGATCTCTTCAATTTTATGCAAATACTGTCATTAGATTTGGTTCAACATTTTTCAACAGGGCTGTTGAAATAATATATGTTGGAAAAAACCACCCTATTAAAATTATAAAATGAAAACAAAAATTGTTCTGTCAGAGTTGCCATGTGTGCTTAGAGATAAAATGATAACTGTTTAATAGTACTGTACTGGGTTTTTGCCCATGGGCATAGGGCTTCCCTGAGTGCTTGCTATGTGTTCTTCCCATTTGGGAAAAACAAACTGATGCATTCCTGAAAAATGTTATTGATATGAAAGAAAAAAACCTCCAAAGTATTTAATAGTATACATATTGAATATACTAGTAAAATGAACTTCATTGACATTACATGAAATGTCTCTATCTTTCCTATGCAAAATGTTTTGATGCATCCAAGTTAAAACCTTTTCTTTTAGTTTCTATTTTGTGACAAACTTTAAGATTCTGGCTTTTTTCTGATTTTGAAGAATGGAATGGAAATTCTAGTTTCTGACCAACTTTAAACAACGCCTTGTTCCTAGGACAGGACTTGGGCTCTGCAGACATGTATCTGCTAGGCCAGGGGTGACCAATACCTGACCAACCCTGCATCACGGATGAGTTGGGGACCACTATGCTAGGCTAAGGAGAACACAATCTGTGCTCATATGTACATACCCAATGACATTAGCTAAAACAAGCATAAGAAAGTTATATACCATTAATTCCATGAAGAGAATTTAGGCGCACAAAATCCTGAGCACTGAATATTATCCTAGTAGCTTCAAAAACTGGATTCTGAGGTTGGGCATTCCTAAAGCACTCGCCTTTTTAACATCTTAGGAATGGCTGAAAATTGTGACCCTTTTACTTTGATAACTGATA